CGTCTCCTCGTGAAAGCTCTGGATGAGCTTAACCCCCTGTCTCCTCGTGAAAACTCTGGATGAGCAACCCCCCTGTCTCCTCGTGAAAGCTCTGGATGAGCTTAACCACCTGTCTCCTCGTGAAGCTCTGGATGAGCTTAACCACCTGTCTCCTCGTGAAAGCTCTGGATGAGCTTAACCACCTGTCTCCTCGTGAAAGCTCTGGATGAGCTTAACCTCCTGTTTCCTTGTGAAGCTCTGGAAGAACTGTCTCTCTGGCAACCTGTCTCTGGCCTGCAGCTCTGGGAGAGTTGCATCATAGGAAGCCAGTCCCAAGCCTGACGCTCTAGGAAAACTAACCTGCTAGTCTGCCCTTGTGAGCCAACCCAAGAATTCTACGTGGATGCTACCTGACGACTCCCCTGCTGAGTTTCCCTAAGAGGTTCCCATGTGGATTTCCCCTGTTGTTTCCCTGCAGTGAGCTGGAAGCTCAAACCCAGCCATCTCCCCTTTCCCCGCACAGACCCCAGCGAATCAGTCCCCTGCCTGAACTGTGATTCATGTGCTTGTGCCTTTAATAAACTCTTTGGACTTTTTCCCGAGTCTCCGTGTGTGTTCTGCACCTTGGGCTTACTCTCTGTGACACCCATCATGACAGGAAGGACTTCAGTTTAAAGGTGTCTTGAGGCAGATGCACATACCGGATAGAGGTTATTTATTATATTCATATTCCCACAACCCCATACTGCAAAAGTTAACTTCTAGATTTCAAGTCAGACATTTCATCATGTGATAGACAGTGAGTACCTTCCAAGCCTACTTATTGACCCTAGGCATAGATGGCCTTGACAAGGTTCTATGAACAATGATGATAGCATCTGTCTCTCCCTGTATCTCTGATTCCAATATATTTTTGGTTAAGCCCTGGCGATTAAATCCATTTTGTTACTTTGTTCTGTTTCTTGTCATGTCTGAGTAAAATTTATTTAATTTCAGGTGTTTCTGTTTAACAGAAAAGGTTGTTGTTCCTGAGATAAATTTCAAAGAGTCAAAGAGACATTATTTGTCAACAGGTCTGAAGCGGCACTCCAGTAGGGTGAGATTTCAGTTTTGGTATAGCCCATCCAAGAAAAAACACTAAACCTAGGATTAACTAGATCCCTCCTGTGAGGTAAAACCAACAGGACTATTCTTGATAGATCAGTGCTGATCAGCTGGTCTTTAATCTTAATTTTATTCTATGTTCCAAGTGTAAGAAAGATTATTTAATCTGAGGAAAATCAAACGTTTTTCTTAAAGCATTAACAGTCCTGTTTTCTAACATAGTCTCCTATGTCCTAAGAATGTGTCTTTAAGGTGGTAACAAATTAACTGGTATACTTTCTATTATAACCCCATGACTTCTGCTTTGTTTCTTAGCAATAAATTGAATTGAATCATGGTTAAAGAAACCTCACCTGCCACTTGAAGTTGAAAGATCAGAGTTTCTGCCTGATTTCAACAACCATCAAACAGAAAATATAAATATATAAATCAAACTTCCTAACCATCAAAGCACAACCGAGTGTTGGTGCGGCTCAGGTCCATCCCTGCTTGACCCCACTGTAGCAACGTCCTGATAATTATTGAGATGGGATACTTATCCCTTTTAAATTATCACTAATTAAAAAAGAATATGAAACTCTAAAAAATTTATGGACATTCAATTACTTAAGTATTTTCCAGTGTTGATTTCATTTATATTGGTAAAATTGTCCTTGTGCATGGTATGTGAATTATTTGGAGGCTATAAGAGTTCCCTTAGCACAAATATATTAAAAAAGGCTATATATGGACTTATTTTTCCTAGTCTCTAAGATCTTTCTAGCTCGGATACTCGGTGTAAGTTGTGAAACAGTTAAATGTCAGTCCCTAACTATTTGTTGGTTGTAAAGGGTAGTTACTGCTTGGGCTACTTGGTTACTATTTTGATGCCGTTGCAGCAGAGGGGCTTAGCTCAACAACAGTCATGAGCAGCTGGTGGAGAATATTTTATGACTGTTGAAAGCATAAGCGTCGTTAGACCTATTTAAGGGTGGCTTCAGTCACCCTTTCTTTGGCATTAGCCACCCTATAATTATTTTGCGATTTTACAAAAAATATTTTTTTTTTCTGTATTTATTTTTTCCTCATATTTTCCCAAAACAAATGCAGTAAAGCACCGAATAAAAGCCATAAAGAAGACAAGTTAATCTGAACAATCATAGGCGTAACTTCCTTAAGGACTGGTGTGGACATGTCCCCACCAATATTTGTACACGTATTTTGCTTTCGGTGCTGTGTATATCTGATTAAAACCCCATTCATGCCACTCCTCAGAAAGTAAATAAAAAAAAGTTCTCCCCGCTGCTCACCGTCCACAAACCCCGACAAAAAAACTCAGAAAAAAGAATCTGTTGCCTCTCGCTTTCTCCCCATCACCCCCCTCCAACCTCTCCCCATAACATTTGAATTGAAGATATCCGCGGGTGACGGGTCGGGTTCGGTAGTCATTCTAACGGGTTCGGGCGGGTGCGGGTTGGTAAAACTCGACCCATGCAGGTCTCTAAGCTACACTACATTCAGTATCGTTGCCATAGAAACAGACAACAGCGCCAATATATCAGAATTATACTAAAACACACGCAAATAATTTCCCACATAAAAAACAGGACTTTCAGTCCATTACAGTTTTCCGTTTTTAGAGGGTTGTTTATTTTGCGTTTATTAAGTGATGGCTGTGGTATATTAGCTTTCACTGCTATAAGCTTTCGCAGCAGTGATTGATTAATTTAAAGGAGAATTCCGGTTTTTAACACTTTTAGCCCATTTTCTGTAGTGTCCAGGATGAAATCGAATGATCGACACCAAAATTTTGACAATTGGTCCTGTCTCTGCTTTTTGGCTCATCCACCCCTGGCTGCTTCAGAATGGCTTACATAGTGCATGTCCGAGAATCAAGAATCCACCTTTCGTATTCCATTTTCAGAGTTTTTTAAAGTGTTTAACAGAGACGTTAGCACCTCGACGTCGGAGTACACAGAGTGAAGCGAAAAGACTACAACTGTGTAAACAGGCCCCATTTCCGTTTCCGGTGGCAGGGGAATATTGACTATTCCAACAGAACTCAATGGGATTTACAAAATGCTAAATAAAACACTTTTTTTGGAACGTCATTGAACAGCGCTGACGACCCGGTGAGTAGCATATTTTTAAAAAAGAACGTTTAAGGTTGTTTTAAGGACATTATCGGACATGCACTATGTAAGCCATTCTGAAGCAGCCAGGGGTGGATTCTAAATGAGCCAAATAGCAGAGACAGGACCAATTGTCAAAATTTTGATGTCGATCATTCGATTTCATCCTGGACACTACAGAAAATGGGCTAAAAGTGTTAAAAACCGGAATTCTCCTTTAAACACCTGCTCTACTGATGGTCTATCGGAGCTGGTGTTTAGGTTGAACATAAAGAACACCTTTTATTTGAAGCTTCTTGTAGCTACTGTTTTAATCCCGGCTTTACTTAAAACTTTTTCCTGACTTTGATAGTGTTGCCATTCAGTTGCAAGCACTGCGCCCCTTTTTCTTTTATATGTACACGTACATTTAAGATTTAGCGTGTTATGTTGACAACTCATGAGCAAGCTGCTTTTTGCAATCTAGCAGGGAGGTAAGGATAGGATCTTGCAGGTGTGACGTCACTCTGCAGGGGGTCCAAAGATAAAAGATTTAAACAATTTTGGCATTGGAATTTCAGATTTAAGGGAGTTAGAAAGTTCACTTAGTAAAAGTGCAAATAATAAATCTGATTACCGATTACTTTTAAGCTGGTTGAACATACTGCGACAGACTGGTGACCTGTCCAGGGTGATCCCACCTCTTACCCAGAACGTGGCTAGAGATATGCACCAGCACCTCCTGATCCCACTCAGGGATAAGGTTAAAGAAAATGGATGGTTGAACATAGTCCGCTCTCCCAGATTCTATCAAATCAGTATTGATACCCTCAGGGGCGGATTTAGGAAATTTGGGGCCCTAGGCAAAGACAGGCAGGGGGCCCCCTGAGAAGTAAACCCATAAAACAGACCCATTCTACAGATAGAGAAATGTTAATAGAATAGACATCCATTATTTGTTCTAGGTTTTGTCCCTCTCTTCTTGTCCCTTTTTCCTCTCTATTTATCAGCGTTCTGATGGCATTTTAGCCAAAGGATTTTTATCAAAAACATAATTAATGTGCACAAAAAAGGATTAGTTGTATTAACCATACATGGAAACAGAGTTTTATGGGGCCCCCAGAACTTGGGGCCCTGGGCAACTGCCTAGTATCGCCTAATGGTAAATCCCCCCCTGGATACCCTGCTGGTGGATATTCTTGACAGAAAGACGGAGTTGCTTGATCATATTCTGCTTAAGGTCCCATAAGATCTTGTCCGAGTCCTGGGTTAAAAGTAAATTAATTTTAAAAAGTGACCCAAAATTGACTGTCAATAAATGTTCTACAAAATTGATATATTTATTTGATGTCTTTGATTTGTACTGTCTGTTTAGATTTATGTGATATTTTTTGCACAAAATATATAAGTGAATATTGTAACAGTTATGTTTTCAACTGTAAGCATTAAATTGATAAATGTTATTTGCATTTTTTTGGCTTTATCCTTTCCAACAAAAAAAAAAAGGCGTCGCGCAGGTAGCTCCCTTTCCTTATGAGCCGTCCCCACCAACTTTCAACACAAAGTTACACCCTTGTCTTAGACAACGCCTTAGCAGGTGCACTGAAAAAATTCGGTGCGCGCTGTGCGCGCATTATCTTCTGGGGGCTGAGCCACCCTTGTCTCTTAAACCTAGAGACGCCCCTGGTTGAAAGCATGATCCTATCGTAAGTCTTACACTACTTTGGACCTGAACTAAAATTTGTCAGGCAAGAGTCTTAAGTCTAACAAAAAGTATTTCCATACTATAATGGATCTAAAAGATGAGGAGCCTTAACCAAATCTTACCTGTGATGTAGAACCAACAAGATCACCGTTGATGGAGCGCTCCTGAACATCTGGTCTCGAATCTTCGGTGTCCTGTATAAACATTTATTTATTCCCAAAATGAGGACAATTAACTATAAAGAAAAGAAGCCTTTTAAGCATTACTTGATCTATTTTATGAATCCAGTCTCATATCCTTCATTAATAAATCTTTTAGGTGGTAACGTGAAATAGTGGGCAGCTATGCTTTTTATTGAAACATGACTTGATGACTACTGTTTTCTCCTAAGCCATAAAGCAAATTTAATTCAATTCAATTCAGTTTATTTATATAGCGCCAATTCACAAGACATGTCATCTGAAGATACTTTACAATCCAACCAGATCGTACAGTCAAGTTGATTTAAAGTTTTCTATCTAACGAAAACCAGTTGATTGCATCAACTCTTTGACTCGAAGGAAATCCCTCACACCAAGCATGCTTGTAGTGACAGTGGAGAGGAAAAACCTCCCTTTTAACAGGAAGAAACCTCCAGCAGAACCAGACTCAGTGTGAGCGGCCATCTGCTGACCCCTTGCTCACACTGGCTCCGGTGCGGTTACCGAGACGACGGAGACCGCAACTACCGCACACACCCTCTCACACCGCCCTTTTGACTACGGTGCGGTGCAGCGCCGGAGTGTCTCGGTAACCACAGCCGGACAGCTCAGCAGCCGGTGAGAGAGGTTTACGTCTTTTTAATGACTTGGAATCTCTGCGGCGCCGCACCCACCGCACTGCAACGGTAAGACCGGAGTCGGTGTGAGCCTGGGGTGAGGCTGACTGGGGTTTAAGGAGACAGAAGCAGAGACACAAAAAGCAGCTGCAAAAGATGGCCCCGTCCAGGAAACACACAGCCAGGCAGACGAGCTCCGAGCCAGCTCCCATGCCAGAGGACGAAGAGATCACATCCAGCCAGTCACAGTCAGAGAAACAGCACCACATAGGAGACAATCCCTCCTTTAACGACCGACCTTCAAAATCATAGACAGGTTTCATATATTACAGGCTAACAATGGAACCAAACAACCCACTCGTCGGTTTCAATTTGCATGTTTCCAAGCAATACAAGGCTTCATCTATATAAAGCCTCAAACTCACTGAGGATCCAGACATTTTAATTGAGAACTCTTCCTCGAATGGGAGCAAAACGTCTTCAAACCTTGGAAACCAAGTTCAGTGGATTGTTTTTTAAACTTTTACAGAATGAATATGACCTGGATGACTGAGAATCTTCATCAGCATATCATTAGTCAATATGTCTGTCTTGTCATAAATTATATTCATACCCAATCCAAATACACCCTCTAGCCCTAATTTTTAGTACCACTAAATTTTGTGGGCTAGTGGTGTCGTAGTACAAAAGATCCTTCCTGCCCACAGCTATCAACTCCTACAACACCTGTTTAAAAGACAACTTATGAGTTACTGCAACATTTAATTTCCCTTTGGGAATAATAAAATATTTCTTTATTGAATTCATATTCGCATGTAGGAGTAGTGGACATAACAAGGGGTAGGGGGGATCTAGCTCCTGATAACATGGAATATCAGATGCTGACTTGCCGGGGAAAGGACGGAGAACATTTTTAACAGAAAACATGGAGGACCAGGATTTTGCAGTTTCCGCTTTTTTTTTCTTTGTTGTTGTCTTTTTCACTCAGTAAAATCAAAAATCCATTGGCGTCGGCATTCTAGGTTCATCTTATTCTCCTGGACAACAGAGGTTAGGTGAGACGGTGCTTTTGAGCTCAGAAAGGGGCAGCAAGAAATCTGGACAAGAACAACGGCAGAGAGAGCACCGAAAGTGGAAACATGGTCCCCAGACGTACCCCTCTCTGAAGCCAAGGAACCACAGCAGGAGATCAGATCGAAACAATGCACCAAAGCAGGGAGAAAAGGCAGACGCTTGCTGTTGCTTGGTCAGGGTCAGAGCAGGGAAGCACAACGTTAGATCAGAGAGGCCTTAGTCCTGCTCGGAGAGAGCTCCTAGCCAGCAGGGGCTACAGCTTGCGTAGGACAGCTCCCATTTGCAACAACTGAAAATATTGCAAATTATGATAGATCTAAAACGTGAAGAGCCTTAACCAAATCCTTCCTGTGATGTGAAACCAGTAAGACCAATGTTGAAAGGGCGTTGCTGAACAGCTGGTCTCAAACCTTCATTGACCTATATAAACATTTACTTTTTAAAATCTAGTTTCACATAGCCTACTTCATTAATAAAGATTTAGGTTGTAAATTGCTTTCATATTCTGGTAAGAAGAAGATTAAGGCCACTAAAAAAAAGTGAACTCATTTTCTAATTTTATTTAAGTTTAATATGGGAAAAAAAAGTCAGAATTCTGAATTTAATCTCAGAATTTTAGATCTTAATGTAGATGGGCACCATGAAGGAAGAGATGTGGGAGCACTTTGTCAGTAAAGTGGGAGCTTTACTGACAAAGATGTGAGTTGTTTGGGAGGGCCAGTAACACACTGGTGGAAAATGATGGAATTAGGCGACTTTTACGTGCCAGAGGGGTCCCCGGTGATGCTATTTCATTAATGGAAGAGCAGAAAGTGATTAAAACAAGAGAGCTAGTGACTAAAACAGACATGGCTATGGCTTGATGCTAACATGTTTGGTAGCTGTCAGAATTCTGAGAAAAAAAATCTGAATTCTGAGAAAAAAAGTCTTCTTCTGACTTTTTTCCTATATTAAGCTGAAATGCAATTTAAAAATCAGTTAAGTTTTTTTTTTATTTTCAGTGGCCCTAATCCTCTTCCATCCTACATAGAGAAACATATATCAGTCAACCATTTTCAGTATTACAGCCCAGCTGATTGTTGTAACTAATCAATTTTATTCTTTTTGTGACTTCCTTGTAGCAACTTTTTTGTGTTGTGGGTCTAGATACGGCCAAGAACGTGAGGAAGTGGGGCCAAGTTTGTGCGCCAACGGAGGGACATGAGGGCGAAAAAGAGTAAGGATCAAGGTGGTAAAAGGGTCCCAGCTTTCTCGTGCACCTCACTCTTTTAGCTGGTCCAACTTCACAAGTCGTTTTCCACAATGGTGGTAAACGACTAGTGAACAAACAAAACAAGCTGGTAAGGTACCAAACATGAAATACGCATAGTTAGAGCTGATGTAGATTTGACCAATCAGAGGACTCCTGTCTGTGGCAGTGTGTGCAGTCACCTACAATTTTGGAGACGTGCAGAAGGGGTAGGAGCACATTTACGGTCACAGTACTCTAAGTGCCGATGTAGAAGGGTTTTAACGGCAATTAATAGAGAGAAAGGGGGTATGAAAAATAAGTTTTACTTCTTCATCCCCTTTTTCAGACAATTTACTAGGGGTGTAAATTACATCCATCATGGCGATTCGATTCAGTATTGATTTCCTGGCCTGACAATTCGATTATTTTCGATACTCAAGAATACACCACGATATGATTTAATTAGATTAATTGGTTCATTTTGTTTTTGTTTTTTACACCCTACAGGCTAGACAATGTTTCAAATTTGAAATATATCAATGAAAGCTGTAATATCGTTATGCATTTTTTTTTTAGAAACAACAGCAAATAACAGGGGCCTGTTTCAGAAAGGAGGTTAAGTGAAAACTCTGAGTTTGTTAACCCTGAAATGAGGGAAACTCTGGGTTTTCTGTTTCAGAAAGGGAGGTAAGTTAAACCTGAGAAAGCAGAGTAAGTCAAGCCCGTTTCTGAAAGAGAGGTAACTTATACTCAGAGTCAGTTACCATGGCAATTTACTCTGTGAACCTAACCTGGTCGGGAGCAGGTTTTCTTCAGAAAATCCAGAGTTTATTTTGCTCTCCTCCCCTTTTTTAAAGAGGAAGTGGTGTTTAAACACCTCATTGATTCTTTGGGGACATACAGTATTCATTGCACACATTTCAGTCACGTAGAGCACATCAAAGGGAATGAAATGGGATGTCCTTTTATGGATGATCCTGTTTGTAAAGCCAGGTAGCTACTCTACTCCCATGATGTGCTCAAGGCTTACCTGCTTGAAGTATGTTTTTATATTTCATTTTCAGCTGCTGCCATGTTCTTTTGATGCCTGCAGAATTGCACCTATCCATGAAAACTAAATTAGGTTTAATAAAATACTGTTCTTCAAGTTTCACCTCTGATATTATAACAGTTGGGTAAGTTACTCTAAAATAGTTCTTAATTACTAACTACAAATTTTATCTTCAACAAGTCTAATTAGATTAATGTAATAATTACTGTCTCTAGAAAGTATTGGTCTACTTACTAATTTCTTTTACTTACTTATTAATTACTTTCTAAATCCCAAATCAACCTCAACCACTTGAACAATACAAGGAGAGACAAGAAACTGCACTTCTAATGCTTTCAAATAAACAATATTCAATTGCATGAATTAATCTTAAATTGACCAAAGTGTGTAACTAGAGGGAGAAAGTTCAAATCAAAATATACCTTTTAAAATTTGATATTAAATCCACTATTGTTTTATAGTCTTTAATTTAATTACAGTATTTATATGACTTAAGTAACTTAATTCATTACACCCAACACTGTATAAAAGTAATTAAAATGTAAACTTACGCATTGACTCGAGCAGCTATTTTCACCCAAGCTAACTCTCTCTCCTTCGCCGCTGCAGCCGTGTTGCTTTTTTTTTTTTTTTAATACATGTTCAAATTCTGCATATGCTTGCATACGTAAGCACATCCAGTTCTGCTGGTGAGAAATATGCACACCTTTTTTTGTCTGACGCTGTTGCCATGGTGACTCGTAATATCTGTGCTCCATTGATAATGGCTTTTTATAGTTGTGGTGCACGCGCTTAACTCAGAGTCAGTCAATTTAGAGTTGATTGAACTAACTCATTTCAGCTGTTCTGAAACCCAAAACTCAGAGTTTCCAATCTCAGGATAAGTCAACTCAGAGTTCAAGTTTTAACTCAGAGTTGGTTGAACTTCCTTATTGAAACAGGCCCCAGAAGTAGAAAAGTTGCACTCTACCTATTCCTATTAAAACCTCATTCACTGAATTCAATTCAATTCAATTCAGTT